CTGTGTGTGTGTCACTGTGTGTGTGTGTCACTGTGTGTGTCACTGTGTGTGTGTGTCACTGTGTGTATCACTGTGTGTGTGTCACTGTGTGTGTCACTGTGAGTGTGTCACTGTGAGTGTGTCACTGTGTGTGTGTCACTGTGTGTGTCACTGTGTGTGTCACTGTGTGTGTGTGTGTCACTGTGTGTGTGTCACTGTGTGTGTGTCACTGTGTGTGTGTCACTGTGTGTGTCACTGTGTGTGTGTGTCACTGTGTGTCTGTCACTGTGTGTGTGTGTCACTGTGTGTGTCACTGTGTGTGTCACTGTGTGTGTGTCACTGTGTGTGTGTGTCACTGTGTGTGTGTCACTGTGTGTGTGTGTCACTGTGTGTGTGTCACTGTGTGTGTGTCACTGTGTGTGTGTCACTGTGTGTGTGTCACTGTGTGTGTGTCACTGTGTGTGTTTACACTGTGTGTGTGTACACTATGTCACTGTGTGTGTCACTGTGTGTGTGTCACTGTGTGTGTCACTGTGTGTGTGTGTCACTGTGTGTGTGTCACTGTGTGTGTGTCACTGTGTGTCACTGTGTGTCACTGTGTGTGTCACTGTGTGTGTCACTGTGTGTGTGTGTCACTGTGTGTCTGTCACTGTGTGTGTGTGTCACTGTGTGTGTCACTGTGTGTGTCACTGTGTGTGTGTCACTGTGTGTGTGTGTCACTGTGTGTGTGTCACTGTGTGTGTGTGTCACTGTGTGTGTGTCACTGTGTGTGTGTGTCACTGTGTGTGTGTCACTGTGTGTCACTGTGTGTGTGTCACTGTGTGTGTGTCACTGTGTGTGTGTGTGTCACTGTGTGTGTGTCACTGTGTGTGTGTGTCACTGTGTGTGTGTGTCACTGTGTGTGTCACTGTGTGTGTCACTGTGTGTGTGTCACTGTGTGTGTGTGTCACTGTGTGTGTGTGTCACTGTGTGTGTGTGTCACTGTGTGTGTCACTGTGTGTGTCACTGTGTGTGTCGCTGTGTGTGTGTGTCGCTGTGTGTGTGTCACTGTGTGTGTGTGTCACTGTGTGTGTGTGTCACTGTGTGTGTGTCACTGTGTGTGTGTGTGTGTCACTGTGTGTGTGTGTCTCTGTGTGTGTGTGTCACTGTGTGTGTGTCGCTGTGTGTGTGTCACTGTGTGTGTGTGTCACTGTGTGTGTCACTGTGTGTCACTGTGTGTGTGTGTACACTGTGTCGCTGTGTGTGTGTCGCTGTGTGTCTGTGTCACTGTGTGTGTGTGTCACTGTGTGTGTGTGTCACTGTGTGTGTGTCACTGTGTGTCACTGTGAGTGTGTCACTGTGAGTGTGTCACTGTGTGTGTGTCACTGTGTGTGTGTCACTGTGTGTGTCACTGTGTGTCACTGTGTGTCACTGTGTGTGTCACTGTGTGTGTGTCACTGTGTGTGTCAGTGTGTCACTGTGTGTGTCACTGTGTGTGTGTGTCACTGTGTGTGTCACTGTGTGTGTGTGTCGCTGTGTGTCTGTGTCACTGTGTGTGTGTCACTGTGTGTGTGTGTCACTGTGTGTGTGTGTCACTGTGTGTGTCAGTGTGTGTGTCACTGTGAGTGTGTCACTGTGAGTGTGTCACTGTGTGTGTGTCACTGTGTGTGTCACTGTGTGTCACTGTGTGTCACTGTGTGTGTCACTGTGTGTGTGTCACTGTGTGTGTCAGTGTGTCACTGTGTGTGTCACTGTGTGTGTGTGTCACTGTGTGTGTCACTGTGTGTGTGTCACTGTGTGTGTGTCACTGTGTGTGTGTCACTGTGTGTGTCACTGTGTGTGTGTGTCACTGTGTGTCTGTCACTGTGTGTGTGTGTCACTGTGTGTGTCACTGTGTGTGTCACTGTGTGTGTGTCACTGTGTGTGTGTGTCACTGTGTGTGTGTCACTGTGTGTGTGTGTCACTGTGTGTGTGTCACTGTGTGTGTGTGTCACTGTGTGTGTGTCACTGTGTGTCACTGTGTGTGTGTCACTGTGTGTGTGTCACTGTGTGTGTGTGTGTCACTGTGTGTGTGTCACTGTGTGTGTGTGTCACTGTGTGTGTGTGTCACTGTGTGTGTCACTGTGTGTGTCACTGTGTGTGTGTCACTGTGTGTGTGTGTCACTGTGTGTGTGTGTCACTGTGTGTGTGTGTCACTGTGTGTGTCACTGTGTGTGTCACTGTGTGTGTCGCTGTGTGTGTGTGTCGCTGTGTGTGTGTCACTGTGTGTGTGTGTCACTGTGTGTGTGTGTCACTGTGTGTGTGTGTCACTGTGTGTGTGTCACTGTGTGTGTGTGTCACTGTGTGTGTGTGTCACTGTGTGTGTGTCGCTGTGTGTGTGTCACTGTGTGTGTGTGTCACTGTGTGTGTCACTGTGTGTCACTGTGTGTGTGTGTACACTGTGTCGCTGTGTGTGTGTCGCTGTGTGTCTGTGTCACTGTGTGTGTGTGTCACTGTGTGTGTGTGTCACTGTGTGTGTGTCACTGTGTGTCACTGTGAGTGTGTCACTGTGAGTGTGTCACTGTGTGTGTGTCACTGTGTGTGTGTCACTGTGTGTGTCACTGTGTGTCACTGTGTGTCACTGTGTGTGTCACTGTGTGTGTGTCACTGTGTGTGTCAGTGTGTCACTGTGTGTGTCACTGTGTGTGTGTGTCACTGTGTGTGTCACTGTGTGTGTGTGTCTCTGTGTGTCTGTGTCACTGTGTGTGTGTCACTGTGTGTGTGTGTCACTGTGTGTGTGTGTCACTGTGTGTGTCACTGTGTGTGTCACTGTGAGTGTGTCACTGTGAGTGTGTCACTGTCTGTGTGTCACTGTGTGTGTCACTGTGTGTCTCTGTGTGTCACTGTGTGTGTCACTGTGTGTGTGTCACTGTGTGTGTCAGTGTGTCACTGTGTGTGTCACTGTGTGTGTGTCACTGTGTGTGTGTCACTGTGTGTGTGTCACTGTGTGTGTCACTGTGTGTATCACTGTGTGTGTGTCACTGTGTGTGTGTGTCACTGTGTGTGTCACTGTGTGTGTGTGTCACTGTGTGTATCACTGTGTGTGTGTCACTGTGTGTGTCACTGTGAGTGTGTCACTGTGAGTGTGTCACTGTGTGTGTGTCACTGTGTGTGTCACTGTGTGTGTCACTGTGTGTGTGTGTGTCACTGTGTGTGTGTCACTGTGTGTGTGTCACTGTGTGTGTGTCACTGTGTGTGTCACTGTGTGTGTGTGTCACTGTGTGTCTGTCACTGTGTGTGTGTGTCACTGTGTGTGTCACTGTGTGTGTCACTGTGTGTGTGTCACTGTGTGTGTCACTGTGTGTGTCACTGTGTGTGTGTCACTGTGTGTGTGTGTCACTGTGTGTGTGTGTCACTGTGTGTGTGTGTCACTGTGTGTGTCACTGTGTGTGTCACTGTGTGTGTCGCTGTGTGTGTGTGTCGCTGTGTGTGTGTCACTGTGTGTGTGTGTCACTGTGTGTGTGTGTCACTGTGTGTGTGTCACTGTGTGTGTGTGTGTGTCACTGTGTGTGTGTGTCACTGTGTGTGTGTGTCACTGTGTGTGTGTCGCTGTGTGTGTGTCACTGTGTGTGTGTGTCACTGTGTGTGTCACTGTGTGTCACTGTGTGTGTGTGTACACTGTGTCGCTGTGTGTGTGTCGCTGTGTGTCTGTGTCACTGTGTGTGTGTGTCACTGTGTGTGTGTGTCACTGTGTGTGTGTCACTGTGTGTCACTGTGAGTGTGTCACTGTGAGTGTGTCACTGTGTGTGTGTCACTGTGTGTGTGTCACTGTGTGTGTCACTGTGTGTCACTGTGTGTCACTGTGTGTGTCACTGTGTGTGTGTCACTGTGTGTGTCAGTGTGTCACTGTGTGTGTCACTGTGTGTGTGTGTCACTGTGTGTGTCACTGTGTGTGTGTGTCGCTGTGTGTCTGTGTCACTGTGTGTGTGTCACTGTGTGTGTGTGTCACTGTGTGTGTGTGTCACTGTGTGTGTCACTGTGTGTGTCACTGTGAGTGTGTCACTGTGAGTGTGTCACTGTGTGTGTGTCACTGTGTGTGTCACTGTGTGTCACTGTGTGTCACTGTGTGTGTCACTGTGTGTGTGTCACTGTGTGTGTCAGTGTGTCACTGTGTGTGTCACTGTGTGTGTGTGTCACTGTGTGTGTCACTGTGTGTGTGTCACTGTGTGTGTGTCACTGTGTGTGTGTCACTGTGTGTGTCACTGTGTGTATCACTGTGTGTGTGTCACTGTGTGTGTGTGTCACTGTGTGTGTCACTGTGTGTGTGTGTCACTGTGTGTATCACTGTGTGTGTGTCACTGTGTGTGTCACTGTGAGTGTGTCACTGTGAGTGTGTCACTGTGTGTGTCTCACTGTGTGTGTCACTGTGTGTGTCACTGTGTGTGTGTGTGTCACTGTGTGTGTGTCACTGTGTGTGTGTCACTGTGTGTGTGTCACTGTGTGTGTCACTGTGTGTGTGTGTCACTGTGTGTCTGTCACTGTGTGTGTGTGTCACTGTGTGTGTCACTGTGTGTGTCACTGTGTGTGTGTCACTGTGTGTGTGTGTCACTGTGTGTGTGTCACTGTGTGTGTGTGTCACTGTGTGTGTGTCACTGTGTGTGTGTCACTGTGTGTGTGTCACTGTGTGTGTGTCACTGTGTGTGTGTCACTGTGTGTGTTTACACTGTGTGTGTGTACACTATGTCACTGTGTGTGTCACTGTGTGTGTGTCACTGTGTGTGTCACTGTGTGTGTGTGTCACTGTGTGTGTGTCACTGTGTGTGTGTCACTGTGTGTCACTGTGTGTCACTGTGTGTGTCACTGTGTGTGTCACTGTGTGTGTCACTGTGTGTGTCACTGTGTGTGTGTCACTGTGTCACTGTGTGTGTGTCACTGTGTGTGTCACTGTGTGTGTGTCACTGTGTGTGTCACTGTGTGTGTGTGTCACTGTGTGTGTGTGTCACTGTGTGTGTCACTGTGTGTGTGTGTCACTGTGTGTGTGTGTCACTGTGTGTGTGTGTCAGGGAGAATATTTGATGGCCACTTGCTGGACATGGTTGAGATGGGAATTCAAAACTTCTCATCACTCAGAGGAGCAAAGGTGAGTGGTGGTGAGTGGTGGTGGTGAGTGGTGGTGAGTGGTGGTGGTGAGTGGTGGTGAGTGGTGGTGGTGAGTGGTGGTGGTGAGTGGTGGTGGTGAGTGGTGGTGGTGAGTGGTGGTGGTGAGTGGTGGTGAGTGGTGGTGGTGAGTGGTGGTGGTGGTGGTGAGTGATGGTGGTGAGTGGTGGTGGTGAGTGGTGGTGGTGAGTGGTGGTGGTGGTGGTGGTGAGTGATGGTGGTGGTGGTGAGTGATGGTGGTGAGTGGTGGTGGTGGTGGTGAGTGATGGTGGTGAGTGGTGGTGGTGAGTGGTGGTGGTGAGTGGTGGTGAGTAATGGTGGTGAGTGATCGTGGTGAGTGGTGGTGAGTGATGGTGAGTGGTGGTGAGTGGTGGTGAGTGGTGGTGGTGAGTGGTGGTGGTGAGTGATGTTGCAGGCTGTTGGTGAGTGATGGTGAGTGATGGTGAGTGTAGTGGTGAGTGATGGTGGTGAGTGATGGTGGTGAGTAGTGGTGAGTGTAGTGGTGAGTGTAGTGGTGAGTGATGGTGGTGAGTAGTGGTGAGTGATGGTGAGTGTAGTGGTGAGTGGTGAGTGATGGTGGTGAGTGATGTTGCAGGCTGTTGGTGAGGGGGTGAAGCCCCTTCTGATCTTCTCTGGAGATTTCTCTTCCTCACCAAGCCTGCTAAGACTGCAAAATCTCCTCCTGGGTGAGCGTACACTCACCACTACTCACCACTACACTCACCACTACTCACCACTACACTCACCACTACTCACCACTACACTCACCACTACTCACCACTACACTCACCACTACTCACCACTACACTCACCACTACTCACCACTACACTCACCACTACACTCACCACTACACTCACCACTACACTCACCACTACACTCACCACTACTCACCGCTACACTCACCAATACACTCACCACTACACTCACCACTACTCACCACTACTCACCACTACACTCACCACTACTCACCACTACACTCACCACTACACTCACCACTACTCACCACTACACTCACCACTACTCACCACTACACTCACCACTACTCACCACTACACTCACCACTACTCACCACTACACTCACCACTACTCACCACTACACTCACCACTACACTCACCACTACACTCACCACTACACTCACCACTACACTCACCACTACTCACCGCTACACTCACCAATACACTCACCACTACACTCACCACTACTCACCACTACTCACCACTACACTCACCACTACTCACCACTACACTCACCACTACACTCACCACTACTCACCACTACACTCACCACTACACTCACCACTACACTCACCACTACACTCACCACTACTCACCACTACACTCACCACTACACTCACCACTACACTCACCACTACACTCACCACTACTGACCACTACACTCACCACTACACTCACCACTACTCACCACTACTCACCACACTCACCACTACTCACCACTACACTCACCACTACTCACCACTACACTCACCACTACACTCACCACTACACTCACCACTACTCACCACTACACTCACCACTACTCACCACTACACTCACCACTACACTCACCACTACACTCACCACTACACTCACCACTACTGACCACTACACTCACCACTACACTCACCACTACTGATCACTACACTCACCACTACTCACCACTACACTCACCACTACTCACCACTACACTCACCACTACTCACCACTACACTCACCACTACACTCACCACTACACTCACCACTACACTCACCACTACACTCACGACTACACTCACCACTACTCACCACTACACTCACCACTACACTCACCACTACACTCACCACTACACTCACCACTACTCACCACTACACTCACCACTACACTCACCACTACACTCACCACTACTCACCACTACACTCACCACTACTCACCACTACTCACCACTACACTCACCACTACACTCACCACTACACTCACCACTACTCACCACCACTCACCACTACTCACCACTACTCACCACTACTCACCACTACACTCACCACTACACTCACCACTACACTCACCACTACTCACCACTACTCACCACTACACTCACCACTACACTCACCACTACTCACCACTACACTCACCACTACACTCACCACTACTCACCACTACACTCACCACTACACTCACCACTACACTCACCACTACTCACCACTACACTCACCACTACACTCACCACTACACTCACCACTACTCACCACTACTCACCACTACACTCACCACTACTCACCACTACTCACCACTACACTCACCACTACACTCACCACTACACTCACCACTACTCACCACTACACTCACCACTACTCACCACTACTCACCACTACACTCACCACTACACTCACCACTACTCACCACTACACTCACCACTACACTCACCACTACACTCACCACTACTCACCACTACACTCACCACTACACTCACCACTACTCACCACTACACACCACTACACTCACCACTACTCACCACTACACTCACCACTACTCACCACTACACTCACCACTACTCACCACTACACTCACCACTACTCACCACTACTCACCACTACACTCACCACTACTCACCACTACACTCACCACTACACTCACCACTACTCACCACTACTCACCACTACACTCACCACTACACTCACCACTACACTCACCACTACTCACCACTCACTCACCACTACTCACTACACTCATCACTACTCACTACTACTCACTACTACACTCACCACTACACTCACCACTACTCACCACTACACTCACTACCACTACTACACTCACCACTACTCACCACTACACTCACCACTACTCACCACTACTCACAACTACACTCACTACTACTCACCACTACTCACCACTACACTCACCATTACTCACCACTACTCACCACTACTCACTACACTCACCACTACACTCACCACTACAATCACCACTACTCACCACTACTCACCACTCACCCACACTCTAACCCACACTTACTCACCTACATACTCACCCACACACTCACTTACTCAACCACTCACCCACTCACCCACACACTCACTCACCCACTCACCCACCCACTCACTCACCCACTCACTCACCCACTCACCACACACTCACCCACTCACCACACACTCACCCACCCACTCACCACACACTCACCCACCCACTCACTCACCACACACTCACTCACCCACTCACCCACTCACTCACCCACCCACTCACTCACTCACTCACCCACCCACCCACACACTCACCCACTCACCCACTCACCCACCCACCCACTCACCCACCCACTCACTCACTCACTCACCCACCCACTCACCCACTCACCCACTCACTCACTCACTCACCCACCCACCCACTCACTCACCCACTCACCCACTCACTCACCCACCCACCCACACACTCACCCACTCACCACTCACCCACTCACCCACCCACCCACTCACCCACCCACCCACTCACCCACTCACCCACCCACCCACCCACTCACCCACTCACCCACCCACTCACCCACTCACCACACACTCACCCACCCACTCACCACACACTCACCCACCCACCCACACACCCACTCACTCACCCACCCACTCTCTCACTCACTCACTCACCCACCCACTCACCCACCCACTCACCCACTCACCCACCCACCCACTCACCCACCCACTCACCCACCCACCCACCCACTCACTCACCCACCCACCCACTCACTCACTCACTCACCCACCCACACACTCACCCACTCACCACTCACCCACTCACCCACCCACCCACTCACCCACCCACTCACCCACCCACTCACCCACACACTCACTCACCCACTCACCCACCCACTCACTCACCCACTCACTCACCCACTCACCACACACTCACCCACTCACCACACACTCACCCACCCACTCACCACACACTCACCCACCCACTCACTCACCACACACTCACTCACCCACTCACCACACACTCACCCACTCACTCACCCACTCACCCACTCACTCACCCACCCACTCACTCACTCACCCACCCACACACTCACCCACTCACCCACTCACCCACCCACCCACTCACCCACCCACTCACTCACCCACTCACCCACTCACTCACCCACCCACTCACCCACTCACCCACTCACTCACTCACTCACCCACTCACTCACTCACCCACCCACTCACTCACCCACTCACCCACTCACTCACTCACCCACCCACCCACACACTCACCCACTCACCACTCACCCACTCACCCACCCACCCACCCACTCACCCACCCACCCACTCACTCACTCACCCACCCACCCACCCACTCACCCACTCACCCACCCACTCACCACACACTCACCCACCCACTCACCACACACTCACCCACCCACACACCCACTCACTCACCCACCCACTCTCTCACTCACTCACTCACCCACCCACTCACCCACCCACTCACCCACTCACCCACCCACCCACTCACCCACCCACTCACCCACCCACTCACTCACCCACTCACCCACTCACTCACTCACCCACCCACCCACACACTCACCCACTCACCACTCACCCACTCACCCACACACCCACTCACTCACCCACCCACTCTCTCACTCACTCACCCACCCACTCTCTCACTCACTCTCTCACCCACCCACTCACTCACCCACCCACTCACTCACCCACTCACTCACCCACTCACTCACCCACCCACTCACCCACTCACCACACACTCACCCACCCACCCACTCACCCACCCACCCACCCACTTACCCACCCACTCACCCACCCACCCACTCACCCACCCACTCACCCACCCACTCACCACACACTCACCCACTCACCCACTCACTCACCCACCCACCCACTCACTCACACACCCACTCACTCACCCACCCACTCACTCACTCACCCACACACTCACCCACTCACCACTCACCCACTGACCCACCCACTCACTCACTCACCACACACCCACTCACTCACCCACCCACTCTCTCACTCACTCACCCACCCACTCTCTCACTCACTCACTCACCCACCCACTCTCTCACCCACCCACTCACCGACCCACTCACTCACCCACCCACCCACTCACCCACCCACTCACCCACCCACTCACCCACACACTCACCCACCCACACACTCATCCACTCACCCACTCACCCACCCACTCACCCACCCACCCACTCACTCACCCACTCACCCACTCACTCACTCACCCACCCACCCACACACTCACCCACTCACCACTCACCCACTCACCCACACACCCACTCACTCACCCACCCACTCTCTCACTCACTCACTCACCCACCCACTCTCTCACTCACTCGCTCACCCACCCACTCACTCACCCACCCACTCACTCACCCACTCACTCACCCACTCATTCACCCACCCACTCACCCACCCACTCACCACACACTCACCCACCCACCCACTCACCCACCCACTCACCCACCCACTCACCACACACTCACCCAGTCACCCACTCACTCACCCACCCACCCACCCACTCACTCACACACCCACTCACCCACCCACTCACTCACTCACCCACACACTCACCCACTCACCACTCACCCACTCACCCACTCACTCACTCACCACACACCCACTCACTCACCCACCCACTCTCTCACTCACTCACCCACCCACTCTCTCACTCACTCACTCACCCACCCACTCTCTCACTCACTCACTCACCCACCCACTCTCTCACCCACCCACTCACCGACCCACTCACTCACCCACCCACCCACTCACCCACCCACTCACCCACCCACTCACCCACCCACACACTCACCCACTCACCCACCCACTCACCCACCCACTCACCCACCCACTCACCCACACACTCACCCACTCACCCACCCACTCACTCACTCACCCACTCACCCACCCACTCACCCACACACTCACCCACTCACCACCCACTCACTCTCTCACTCACTCACCCACCCACTCACTCACCCACCCACCCACTCACTCACCCACCCACCCACTCACCCACCCACCCACCCACACACTCACCCACTCACCCACTCACCCACCCACCCACTCACCCACCCACTCACTCACCCACCCACTCACCCACCCACCCACTCACCACCCACTCACCCACCCACTCACCCACACACTCACCCACTCACCACCCACTCACTCTCTCACTCACCCACCCACCCACTCACCCACCCACCCACCCACACACTCACCCACTCACCCACTCACCCACCCACTCACTCACCCACCCACCCACTCACTCACTCACTCACCCACCCACCCACTCACCCACCCACCCACACACTCACCCACTCACGCACTCACCCACCCACCCACTCACTCACCCACCCACCCACTCACTCACTCACTCACCCACTCACCCACTCACTCACCCACCCACCCACTCACTCACCCACCCACCCACTCACTCACCCACCCACCCACTCACCCACCCACCCACCCACACACTCACCCACTCACCCACTCACTCACCCACTCACCCACTCACCCACACACCCACCCACTCACTCACCCACACACTCACCACACACTCACCAATGTACCCGCTCTGTAGACTTCTACCGGGGTCCCACCATCCCCAACGTGTCTCTGATGGGCCTGGAGTTGGTACTCAACTTCACGGCCATAGGAGGCGACTTGGTCCTCATGAGGGGTTACCGGTGAGAAACACTCACCACACTCACCACCACACTCACCACACTCACCACCATTACCACACTCACCACCACCACGCTCACCACCACCACACTCACCACTACCATTACCACGCTCACCACCACCACCACCACCACCATTACCACCACCACACTCACCACCACCACCACCACCACCACGCTCACCACCACCACCACACTCACCACGCTCACCACCACGCTCACCACCACGTTCACCACCATCGCCACGCTCACCACCACCACGCTCACCACCATCACCACACTCACCACCACCACGCTCACCACCACCACCACCCCCACCACCACCACCACACTCACCACCACCACCACCACCACGCTCACCACCACCACGCTCACCACCCCCACTACCACGCTCACCACCACCACCACGCTCACCACCATCACCACACTCACCACCACGCTCACCACCATCACCACGCTCACCACTATCACCACCACGCTCACCACCACCACCACCATGCTCACCACCACCACGCTCACCACCACCACCACCACGCTCACCACCACCACCACCACGCTCACCACCACCACCACCACGCTCACCACCACCACGCTCACCACCACCACCACCACGCTCACCACCACCACGCTCACCACCACCACGCTCACCACCACCACGCTCACCACCACCACCACCACGCTCACCACCACCACCACCACGCTCACCACCACCACCACCACGCTCACCACCACCACGCTCACCACCACCACCACGCTCACCACCACCACCACACTCACCACCACCACCACACTCACCACCACCACCACCCTCACCACCACCCACCCCCCCCCCCGCCCCTCAGGGTGGAGTTGAAGCGTTCTGGTTCCCGGTGTCCGCGTGTTGAGTTGGTGCCGCTGGGCGCACAGATGGATTTAGTAATCCGCCGTGCCCACCTGGCCACTCAAGACCTCACCCGGCACGCCCTCAGACAGCCTCGGACAGCCACACAGGTACAGAGACACGTGCCACTCACTGTACAGAGACACGTGCCACTCACTGTACAGAGACACGTGCCGCTCACTGTACAGAGATACGTGCCACTCACTGTACAGAGACACGTGCCGCTCACTGTACAGAGACACGTGCCGCTCACTGTACAGAGACACGTGCCGCTCACTGTACAGAGACACGTGCCACTCACTGTACAGAGACACGTGCCACTCACTGTACAGAGACACGTGCCTCTCACTGTACAGAGACACGTGTGCCGCTCACTGTACAGAGACACGTGCCGCTCACTGTACAGAGACACGTGTGCCGCTCACTGTACAGAGACACGTGCCACTCACTGTACGGAGACACGCGCCGCTCACTGTACAGAGACACGTGTGCCGCTCACTGTACAGAGACACGTGCCGCTCACTGTACAGAGACACGTGCCACACAGGTACAGAGACACGTGCCGCTCACTGTACAGAGACACGTGCCACTCACTGTACGGAGACACGCGCCGCTCACTGTACAGAGACACGTGTGCCGCTCACTGTACAGAGACACGTGCCGCTCACTGTACAGAGACACGTGCCACACAGGTACAGAGACACGTGCCGCTCACTGTACAGAGGCACGTGTGCCGCTCACTGTACAGAGACACGTGCCTCTCACTGTACAGAGACACGTGCCACTCACTGTACGGAGACACGCGCCGCTCACTGTACAGAGACACGTGCCACTCACTGTACAGAGACACGTGCCTCTCACTGTACAGAGACACGTGTGCCGCTCACTGTACAGAGACACGCGCCGCTCACTGTACAGAGACACGTGCCACACAGGTACAGAGACACGTGCCGCTCACTGTACAGAGACACGTGGCACTCACTGTACAGAGACACGTGGCACTCACTGTACAGAGACACGTGGCACTCACTGTACAGAGGCACGTGCCACTCACTGTACAGACACGCAGCTCACTGTACGCCACGTTCACTGTATGCACGCTCTCACTGTATGCCACGCCACTCACTACGCCACTCTCACTGTACGCCACTCACTACGCCACTCTCACTGTACGCCGCTCACTGTACGCCGCTCTCACTGTACGCCGCTCTCACTGTACGCCGCTCTCACTGTACGCCGCTCTCACTGTACGCCGCTCTCACTGTACGCCGCTCTCACTGTACGCCGCTCTCACTGTACGCCGCTCTCACTGTACGCCGCTCTCACTGTACGCCGCTCTCACTGTACGCCGCTCTCACTGTATGCCGCTCTCACTAGACACTGTACCCTAATTCTGTCTTTCCCCCCCATCCCCTCCCCCCCATCCCTTCCCCCTCCCCTCCTCCCCTCTCCCCCCTCCCCCCATCCCATCCCCCCTCCATTCCCCCCACTCCCCTCCCCCCCTTCCCTCCCCCGGTTCCCTCCCCCTCACTCCCTTCCCCCCCTCCCCCCCTGCCCCTCAACCATCTCCCCCCTCCCCCCACCCCCTCTCCCCCCCTCTCCCCCTCTCCCTCCTCCCTCTCTCCCCCCCTCCCCCCCTTCCCTCCCCCCCACTCCCTTCCCCCCCTCCCCCCCTGCCCCTCAACCATCTCCCCCTTCCCCCCACCCCCTCTCTCCCCCCTCTCTCTCCCCCCTCTCTCTCTCCCCCCTCTCTCTCTCCCCCCCTCTCTCTCCCCTCTCTCCCCCTCTCTCCCCCCTCTCTCCCCCTTCCTCCCCCCCCTCTCACCCCCTTCCCCCCTTCCCCCCACCCCCTCTCCCCCCCCTGCCCCCCAGCCCCAGGGCCACCCCTGCGTGGGCAAGGGCTCCAAGCGCAACTTGTCTCGTGACGCTCTGGGCGCTCGCCTGGGCCGCCTGCACCTCCAGCAGCAGCCGCTGGGGGCGCTGCGCCTGGCGCGGCCTCGCGCACTCAGACGCAGCAGCGCCAACAACACCAACAACACCAACACCATCAAAAACACCAACAAAAATAAAAACACCATTAACAATAAAAACACCACCACTAACACCAACACTAACACCACCACTAACACCACCAACACCACCAACACCACCAACAAAAACACCACCAACACTAACACTAACACCACCAACACTAACACTAACACCACCAACACTAACAACGCCACCAAAGACACCATCAACACTACCACCAACACTACCACCGGCACTACCGGCACCAGCGGCACCAGCAGCAGCAGGGTCAGGGAGGAGGGAGGGGCGGGAGGGGGGAGGAGGGGGGGGGAGAGGGAGGGGGGGGAGGAAGGGGGGGGCAGGGGGGGAGAGAGGGGGGGAGAGAGGGGGGGAGGAGGGGGGCGGGGTTTCTCTCTAAACGTCGCAGGGTGAAGTAGGGAGGGGGAGGTGGGGTGGGGGATGAGAGGGGAGGGGGAGAGGGGGGGGGAGGGTGGAGGGGGTGGTGAGAGAGGGGGGAGGTGTGAGAGGGGGGTGGTGAGAGGGGTGGAGGGGGGAGGGGTTGGACGGGGGTGGTGAGAGAGGGGGGGAGAGGGGAGGGGGGAGGGGGGTGGAGTGAGGAATCCCAAGGAGGTGAGGCTGGAGAGAGAGAGAGAGATGGACATTGGGAGATGCGGAGAGATTCACAGGGGAAGAGATAGAGACACACACAGACACACACTCAGAGACACACACAGACACACACACACAGACATTCAGAGAGACACACAGACATTCAGAGAGAGACACACAGACACACACAGACTCACACACACAGACATTCAGAGAGACACACAGACTTTCAGAGAGAGACACACAGACAGACACAGACTCACACACACAGACATTCAGAGAGACACACAGACATTCAGAGACACACACACACACAGACATTCAGAGAGACACACAGACTCACACACAGACATTCAGAGAGAGACACACAGACACACAGACTCACACACAGACATTCAGAGAGACACACAGACATTCAGAGAGAGACACACACAGACTCACACACACAGACATTCAGAGACACACACACACAGACATTCAGAGAGACACAGACAGACATTCAGAGAGAGAGACACAGACATTCAGAGAGAGACACACACACAGACACACATACACACAGACACACATACACAGACATTCAGAGAGAGACACAGACACACATACACACAGCCATTCAGAGAGAGACACGCATACAGACACACAGACATTCAGAGAGAGACACACAGACACACACAGACATTCAGAGAGAGAGACACACACACACACAGACATTCAGAGAGACACAGACAGACATTCAGAGAGAGACACAGACACACATACACACAGCCATTCAGAGAGAGACACAGACACACATACACACAGCCATTCAGAGAGAGACACGCATACAGACACACAGACATTCAGAGAGAGACACACAGACACACACAGACATTCAGAGAGACACACACACATATAGACATTCAGAGAGAGACACACAGACATTCAGAGTCACTGGGGCACTCTGTGTGTGTGTGAGAGAGAATGTGCAGGCGGTTTAAATAAAGTTGATTTGAACAAATGCGTGGGTTGTGTTTATGTGAACTGTGATATACAACTCCCTGTACCTATCTATGCCGTGATATGCAACTCCCTATACCTATCTGTACTGGGATATGCAACACCCTATACCTATCTGTACTGGGATATACAACACCTTATACCTATCTGTACTGTGATATACTCCTATACTTATCTGTACCGGGATATACAAGACCTTATACCTATCTGTACTGGGATATACAACACCCTATACCTATCTGTACTGTGATATACTACTCCCTATACCTATGTACCGGGATATACAAGACCCTATACCTATCTGTACTGGGATATACAACACCCTATACCTATCTGTACTGTGATATACAACTCCCTATACCTATCTGTGATGTGATATACAACTCCCTATACCTATCTGTACTGGGATATACAACCCCCTATACCTATCTTTACTGTGATATACTACTTATACCTATCTGTACTGGGATATACAACACCCTATACCTATCTGTACTGGGATATACAACACCCGGTTTCCTAAAACCTTGGTTATTTCGGTAAAGTAACGTAGAAGGGAAATAATAAAATAATAATACAATTCTCACGACGTTTCGGCCACAACGCAAGCAGCCTTCCTCAGGTGAAGAACACACAGAAGCTTGGCAGCGTCTTTTAAGCTGAGCGCCTGGACAAAGGAGTTTACATATCAACAGAGGAGTTTAGCATTGAAGTGGCTAAGTTAATGTGTTGGATTAGCAGGATTTTAAGTGAGAAATTAGCATGTAACTGGGAGATTAGGATGTTAAAGTGAGGATTTAGCATGTAACTGGGATATTAGCAGGGTGTTAAAGTGAGGATTTAGCATGTAACTGGGAGATTAGCAGGATGTTAGTGTGAGGATTTAGCATGTAACTGGGAGATTAGCAGGATGTTAAAGTGAGGATTTAGCATGTAACTGGGAGATTAGCAGGATGTTAAAGTGAGGATTTAGCATGTAACTGGTCACGGAAGTAGCTATGTTAAAGTCAGAGTTTACATATCAACAGAGGAGTTTAGCATTGAAGTAGCTGTGTTAATGTGAAAGTTTAGCAGGATGTTAAAGTGAGGATTTAGCATGTAACTGGGAGATTAGCATGATGTTAAAGTGAGGATTTAGCATGTAACTGGGAGATTAGCAGGATGTTAAAGTGAGGATTTAGCATGTAACTGGGAGATTAGCATGATGTTAAAGTGAGGATTTAGCACGTAACTGGGAGATTAGCAGGATGTTAAAGTGAGGATTTAGCATGTAACTGGGAGATTAGCAGGATGTTAAAGTGAGGATTTAGCATGTAACTGGGAGATTAGCATGATGTTAAAGTGAGGATTTAGCACGTAACTGGGAGATTAGCAGGATGTTAAAGTGAGGATTTAGCATGTAACTGGGAGATTAGCAGGATGTTAAGGTGAGGATTTAGCATGTAACTGGGAGATTAGCAGGGTGTTAGTGTGAGGATTTAGCATGTAACTGGGAGATTAGCAGGATGTTAAAGTGAGGATTTAGCATGTAACTGGGAGATTAGCAGGGTGTTAAAGTGAGGATTTAGCATGTAACTGGGAGATTAGCAGGATGTTAAAGTGAGGATTTAGCATGTAACTGGGAGATTAGCAGGATGTTAAGGTGAGGATTTAGCATGTAACTGGGAGATTAGCAGGGTGTTAGTGTGAGGATTTAGCATGTAACTGGGAGATTAGCATGATGTTAAAGTGAGGATTTAGCATGTAACTGGGAGATTAGCAGGGTGTTAAAGTGAGGATTTAGCATGTAACTGGGAGATTATCACGATGTTAGTGTGAGGATTTAGCATGTAACTGGGAGATTAGCATGATGTTAAAGTGAGGATTTAGCATTTAACTGGGAGATTAGCAGGATGTTAAGGTGAGGATTTAGCATGTAACTGGGAGATTAGCAGGGTGTTAGTGTGAGGATTTAGCATGTAACTGGGAGATTAGCAGGATGTTAAAGTGAGGATTTAGCATGTAACTGGGAGATTAGCAGGGTGTTAAAGTGAGGATTTAGCATGTAACTGGGAGATTAGCAGGATGTTAAAGTGAGGATTTAGCATGTAACTGGGAGATTAGCAGGATGTTAAGGTGAGGATTTAGCATGTAACTGGGAGATTAGCAGGGTGTTAGTGTGAGGATTTAGCATGTAACTGGGAGATTAGCATGATGTTAAAGTGAGGATTTAGCATGTAACTGGGAGATTAGCAGGGTGTTAAAGTGAGGATTTAGCATGTAACTGGGAGATTATCACGATGTTAGTGTGAGGATTTAGCATGTAACTGGGAGATTAGCATGATGTTAAAGTGAGGATTTAGCATGTAACTGGGAGATTAGCAGGATGTTAAGGTGAGGATTTAGCATGTAACTGGGAGATTAGCAGGGTGTTAGTGTGAGGATTTAGCATGTAACTGGGAGATTAGCAGGATGTTAAAGTGATGATTTAGCATGTAACTGGGAGATTAGCAGGGTGTTAAAGTGAGGATTTAGCATGTAACTGGGAGATTAGCAGGATGTTAAAGTGAGGATTTAGCATGTAACTGGGAGATTAGCAGGATGTTAAGGTGAGGATTTAGCACGTAACTGGGAGATTAGCAGGATGTTAAAGTGAGGATTTAGCATGTAACTGGGAGATTAGCAGGGTGTTAGTGTGAGGATTTAGCATGTAACTGGGAGATTAGCATGATGTTAGTGTGAGGATTTATCACGGAAGTGGCTATGTTAAAGTCAGAGTTTACATATCAACAGAGGAGTTTAGCATGTTGTTGAACATTGGCCATCGATATGGTACGCTTAAGGTGGCTTTCAGACCGCGTCCATTATTTTTCGTCTCCCCCCCTCCTCTTATCCGAACATAGATGGACTCGTCCATCTGAACAAATTGTCAAATCGCTCTCTCCGTGGTGCTAACGTTAAATAAACGCCACTTTATTAAAATTTTTCTTGTTGTGATTTTCACACCTGATGATGATTGCTGCTTTGTGTTGCAGTAGAAACGTCGTGAGAATTTTATTGTTTTATATTTTTTATTATTTTATTGTTTCCCTTCTACGTGGTGGTGACTTTACCGAAAGAACCAAGAATAATAATTTGATTGTTTTACAATAATTTGATTGTTTTATATTTTTATTATTTTATTGTTTCCCTTCTACGTGGTGGTGACTTTACCTAAAGAACCAAGAATAATAATTTTATTGTTTTATATTTTTATTATTTTATTGTTTCCCTTCTACGTGGTGGTGACTTTACCGAAAGAACCAAGAATAATAATTGTATTGTTTTACAATAATTTTATTGTTTTATATTTTTTATTATTTTATTGTTTCCCTTCTACGTGGTGCTTTTAACACCTGATGATGATGATTTGTGTTTCAGTCGAAACGTCGTGAGAATTTTATTGCTTTATATTTTTTATTATTTTATTGTTTCCCTTCTACGTGGTGGTGACTTTACCGAAAGAACCAAGAATAATAATTGTATTGTTTTATATTTTTTATTATTTTATTG